CTTCAGCACCCTGCCATGTAAGTTTATTTTAGTTACCCGACATGCAAAATATCTAAAATATAAAATGCAAATTTAGCCTGATTTTTTTCTGTTATTTTTTTAAATTAAGAATGAACAACAAAATCCCTTTAATCCCCATGTTGACATCAAATTGCGTTGTGTTTTGTCATCAATTCAAATTGTAATTAATGTGATTTTATTTGTTTTTATTTTCACCATAGCCTACAGTATGTATTATCAGGTTTCATCTTTCACATCAGCAATTGCAGCAATTGTGACAACTTGTTGAAGGATTTTATTCTCATAATCCTGCAACATCTATCTGGGTCAGAGGCTTTATTCATACAGGTTACATAACATCTGGTCTCCCCAGATCCATAGCTCAAAATACCTTTTAAAAACTGTTTATTCATCTTTTCGTCATTTTTTTGTGAAAACCCTGTTTCAGAATATAGATCCATCGCCAACTGCCTGTTTTCTGATGTTTACTTGTTGATTTTTAGTTAAGAGGATGAAGAGTCAAATTTGACAGATTTAACTGTTTGCACAGATTTCCCCCCTCCCGCCATCTGTCATGGATTAACATTTTGTATCACATTTCCCTCTCTTCTTTCCCAGCCCTGCAGCTTCCACAACACTGGCTTTTGCCATGAAAAGAAACACTGTGGTCCAACACACTACAGAAAAATCAAATCAAACTTTTCTTTGTTCAAATCATTACTGCTTATTTTGTTTATTTTTCTGTCTCTCATCCTAGTCTGTCAGTGTGCTCATTCAAAATATGCTCAGAAGCTCCTGACTGATTTAATGACCAACTACACACGTGTGCTGAGGCCGGTGGAGGACACAAATACCATCCTGAATGTGACTCTGCAGGTTACACTGTCACAAATTATCGACATGGTAAAACATCACACTGTGCAATAATCACTTGTGCGCTACATTCACACAACTGTGTTGTGTGTCCCATCTGATGTCATTGTTTTTAATGTTTATTTTTTAACTTTTTTACAGGATGAGCGAAATCAAATCTTAACTGCATATCTGTGGATAAGGCAGGTGTGGTTTGATGCTCACCTCAAATGGAATAAAGAGGATTATGATGGCCTAGATACTATCCGCATACCTGGTAGTAATGTATGGAGACCTGATATAGTCTTATACAACAGGTTGGTTAGAATTTTTGACCTCATACTCACAAGTTGAACACTGACAGATTCTTTATTTGTGGTTTGATGAAAATTAAAGTAAGATATCTACAATGTCGTGGAAGATATTTTATGACTGGATTAGATATTTTTCTTATATCTTATACTTAGGATCAATTGTAACCAGAGGGCATCAAAGGGTTAAAGGTCAAGATCATTTATGATGATTGGTAATATACAGTAAAACTGATCTTTTTTTAATTACCCAACAGTACAAAAACAAATCAAAGAGGAAGTCATGTTTACACATTGTTGATATAGTTACATACTTTTTAGAATTTTTATGTCCAAAAACAGAGGTAAAAAGGTAACTGCATGCTCAGTTAACACATTCTCACTCCCAACTTGTCACATAATGACGCTTTTCCAAGGTTTCCTCTGCATCTTATTTTGACACGTCGGTTACACCCGTCGCATCAGTGTTTGACGCACCAGGGATATCTGTGTTCCCTTAGCATCCAGGTTTGACGCATTGGGACGCAAAATATAGGGGTCTTTGACTTGGGATCCGTGGTTAATATTAGGGATCAGGGTTAATGGTTTATTTTAGGTAGTGGGGTCAGGGATAGGATGTCTATGGCGAATATTATGTAATTTTAGGCTTTGGGACACGTAGTTCACGTGACTTTCCTACAATTTCTAAAAATGGTTAATTTTAGGCACTAGGGTCAGGGACAGCATGTCTAGAGTGAATAAAGGTAATTTTAGGCTTTGGGACGGTAGTTTTGGTGCATTTTCTACGCTTTCTGAAATTATGACAATGGATTCCGCCCCATCTCGTCAATAACTGATGAGAGGGGGGTACCCGACGGGTCAAAATCGGACGCAGAGGGAAACTTGGAAAAGCATCAATATGTGACGACTTGGGAATGAGAATGGGTTGGCTCAGTTCTTTCAATAAAGATGGAATCGTACCAGTCGATGGTTTGGCATCAAGTTATAGCAGTTATATTTTAAATGATCTTTAGCAAAACTTATTAAGTAAATATCAACTCTGTTGCTTTATCTTGGTGTTTATTTTTCAGTGCAGACAACCATTTCACTGGCCCCATGGACACCAATGTAGTGATCCGACACGACGGCCAGATGATGTGGGATTCGCCGGCCATCACCAAGAGTTCGTGCCGAGTCGACGTGTCTTTCTTCCCCTTCGACGGTCAGCAGTGCAGGTTCACTTACGGTTCTTGGACCTACAACGGCAACCAGCTCGACATCCAGAACGCCATGGAAAGCGCCGACCTGGCCGACCTGGTGGAAAACGTGGAGTGGGAGGTGCTCGGTATGCCAGCCAGGAGGAACATTGTTCTGTACGGCTGCTGCGCTGACCCCTACCCGGATGTGACCTACACGCTAAAACTCCAACGAAGAGCTTCCTTCTATGTTTTCAACCTGCTCATCCCCTGTGTGATGATTTCTTTTCTGGCTCCACTTGGCTTCTACCTGCCAGCTGATTCAGGAGAAAAGGTTTCTTTAGGTGTGACTGTGATGCTGGCACTCACTGTCTTTCAGCTGTTGGTTGCAGAGATCATGCCACCATCTGAGAATGTACCACTTATTGGTGAGAATGATAAACTAAGGCTAGGTTAGCATGCTAACAAGTTCATGTATGTAAATGTATGTCTTCATTACTTCTACAGGAAAGTATTACATCGCAACAATGACCATGATCACAGCATCTACGGCTTTGACCATCTTCATCATGAACATTCATCACTGTGGCCCGGATGCCAAACCTGTTCCAAAATGGGCCAAAATCGTCATCCTGCAGTACATGGCCAGGATGTTCTTTGTGTATGAAGTTGGGGAGAATTGCATGTCAGCTCAGATAGAGAAACAACAACGTCCCTTTGGAAACAACACCAACCGCACCATGAACGGTCAGGCAGGACCAGGCAGAGAGGACTTCAAAACGGAATGTACACAAGAGACCATGCGCCCCGTCATCCCAGAGGAGAGGAGGGATACGGATCAAATTATGAGTCCAACAGACTCAGCTGAAGGGAAGGAGAGCAACCACTGCAGCGCTCAGAACAACGGTGTCTTTATAAGCATGGGCTGTGAGGGTTCAGGGGGTCTGAAGAGAAGCAGGAAAGGAGGCGTGAGTGAAGGAGTGAAAAAAGACGGAGATGTTTCCTGCACCCCTGGCAGCACTAATGTGGTGCTGTTGCAGAATGTTGAGTACATTGCTAATTGTTACAGAGATCAGAGGGCCACGCAGAAGAAAATCGGAGAGTGGAAGAAAGTAGCCAAAGTGCTGGACCGCTTTTTCATGTGGATATTTTTCATAATGGTGTTTTTTATGAGTCTTCTCATCATGGGCAAAGCCATCTAGGCTGTGTCTCAATTCAGGGGCTGCGTCCTTTGAAGTTTGCATTTGTCAGCCCCTTATGTCACCGCCCTGCGCCAAAGGCTGTCCCAATTCTTGGGCTGCTCCTCATGTGGCCAGCAAAACCCCTAAAATGAAGGCTGCATCTGAGCATCTTTACCAGCCGAGGAAATCCCAGCATTCATTGCGTTGTCAACAAACAAGAAGTCAGCAGAATTTTTCTTTTTCTTTTCATTTTCTTTCTTTTGTTTTTACCAAGTCGGCAGAGTTTGGAAATTCTTTTTTTTTTTTGCCACTTCAGTAGAAAGCAGAACTGAATATCTTAATAATAGTATCTTTAAAAAAAAGCCACTGATGATGAAGAGTTTGGAAACTCATCATCGACTTATTTTTTTTTTGAAATTCATGTTTAGTAACGTAGTTGATGAAATTTATGCTGCAATGAGATGTTAAATAAAATGCAACTACTGATACTAGAGCTAAATCCAAACAATCATTTAAAAAATTATATACAGTACATGTACTGTAACTGTTTTAATTGTAAAACTATTCCTACACTGAAAAGATGTGTGAATACATGTCATGAAACGTATCACTGTGGCAATGGGGTAGTACACGGTCATGCAGAAATACGTCATTCAAACACATTTCACAGCTGTTTTATGCAGCCTACACAGTCTGTGAAGGTTGTGACCTTGGTGGGTTTAGATGCTGCAGCCCCTGGATAGGGACACAGAGTCACCATCTTAACATGATGTAAACACTTTTAATATTTAGATTTGTAGCCTGTTGAAGCTTTAATGTGTAATATTTTAATAAAATATTTAACTACATCCAAGTTTACCCTTTTAATGTGTAAAAATTATTGTCAAAGGAAAAAATAAACTACTGGCAAAACAATAAAGACGTGAATCTTTAAAAGCAAGAATGTGTTTAGATAGACTTTACAATTTATTGTAACGTACACAACAAATAAAGCATACAGACAAAAGAAGTTTGATCTCAAATGAATTAGGAAGTATTGTTAAATAAAATCAAACAAATAGCAAAAATTCTACAAATAATTCTAGGATAGTTTTTTTTAAATGTAATGTATTTCTGGGATTTTAGACATGCTGGCTTTATTTAGATAACAATTAAACAATTAAATAGAATAAACATGCCAACAACCATAACAGACCATAAACAAAAATCTCTGCCCTTTTACAATAAAGGGATATAACATATGGAATTTTGTAAAAAAAAAAAAAAAGTAATAATTGAGGCTATATATTGCAAAACCATGCTATAAATACAGTACAATATTAAGTACATCACATAGTATTGCTGCACTGATAAACTTTTTAAAGCTGACAGATTTTTTTCATCAGCTTAAATGAATAAGCACTAGGATAAAACATATTCACTTTAACGTTATGTTTACTGACATGCTCTGTTTCTAAGGTTATTTCTAGCAAATATATTTAACCATCTGTTGATTTTTGAGATGGCATTAAACTTCACCATTAGTCTATTATCAAAATGGCATCATAATAATCTTTTGTGCAAATCTTTACCAGAAAATGAACTAAAGCTGAACTGATAATTAAAATCTACACATATTTGAATCAGAGGTCATAAATGTATTTCAGTCAGTTGAACAGGAAATACTAGGTAGGAATCACTTTCTTTCTCTGCAGTATTTCAGCTATTTTAACCCGTAATGATCTTGTTTGCAATCCGTAAATTACAGGATTTAAATTGGCTGGAACAACGTGAAATAAAATGGACGCAATCTTTCTCAAATCTGGGTAGTCTGGGAATCGATGCAATATGATTGTTAAAAACCCAGTCCAAAGCATAATAAGATAAAGCACAAGGTGACTCGTGCAGGTCTGCAGTGCTTTGCTGTTTAGCTCCTTGTTTTTCTTCATCCAGCAGATGAGAGCTATTCTCATGTATGTAATAAGGATGCCTCCCATGGAGCACGTGAAAAGCAGCACGGTGAAAATGAGTCCATACAGGTTGTTGATGGACACGTCCTCACATGACAACTTGAACAGGGAGGCGTTGTCACAGTAAGCGTTTTGGATCATGGCTCTACAACGAGACAGCCTCACTGTTAGCCCTATGAGCACCGACACAAGCACCAAGGACACCCCCCACGCAACTGCAGACAGCCCCACCACAGTCCTGCTCGTCATTATTGAGGCATACCTCAGAGGGTGACATATCGCCACATATCTGTCTATCGCCATGATGACGAGAATCAGGTGGGACGCTGATCCGAACATGTGGCTGTGAAAAGCCTGAGCCACGCACTGGTTGTAGGTGACGAATCGTTTTGTCGAAAGGACGTGAGCCATCAGCTGAGGCAGCAGGACCGTGTTCCCGATCACGTCGTTGACAGAAAGGTTACAAAAGAGGAAGTACATGGGCTGGTGCAAACTCTTCTCCACGATGATGAGTGCGAGAACACCAATGTTGGAAATGAGCAGAGACAAGTAAACAAACAGAAGTAAGAAAAACAGAGGGTATGTGAACTCTGGAGAGACGTCAAAGCCTTGAATCTCCAGGATATTAGATGAAATTGTAGCATTTTTCTCCATCTTGTTTCCTTTGGTGGAAAATCTAAAAAAGAGAGAGAGAGACAGAGAGAATAAAGAATGATGAAATTATGTGAGACAATAAATTGTGAATACAGGATAGAACTGTTTACAAGTAAAAAGCTAAATCAATGCTTACCTCTGATCTGAACATACTAAATGCTCAACAAACCTAGTTTGACACGTAACAACACAATTGTATTATAAATACCCTCCTGGTGGAGGGAGGAAACCCAAGTTTGCAGTTAGAGTCCCACATGAATAGAGTTTAGAACTCTTTAGAATCATATTTGTTTCTGTTTTAGTTGCACACCAAAAAAGACAGAACATTTACAGCACTGGATGGAAAGCCTGAGTAGAACAAAAGAAGAAAAATACATTGTAAAATAAAGAAAATGTAACTAAATGGAAAGCACACACACAAAAACTATCCTTCTAAATGCAAAGTTTGATTGCAAAGTTTTTTGTTATTTTTTAATTCTTGTAACAAATTAGTTTAGTTTTGCAGGCAGAGAATGAGCCAAATGTTTTCACTGTTCTGACCAGTGGGAAAAAAAAACAGTCCTGACAATTTATAGACCAGTGGTCAAAAATGTGTTGATCATCATTATCCGATGTGAATCACTGCCCAAAGTGTCACATGTGAAAGCTGATGAGATATAACATAAAGTTTTTTAAGCATTTCTGCAGCTTCAGCCAGCTGAGCAGACAGCACATCAACAAACACAACCTTTATCCCACAGGTTTAACTTTGCAGCATGTAGACAACTTTGGGCTTCACAACTATAGATATTTGAGTAGATAAAGCACGCTATGACAATATGAGGCCTTCAGCTGTGACAAACTGAGAAGAGCGAAAGGTTCTAAAACTACTTCTGAACACCTCAGCTCAGTCTCAAATTATAAACATAATTTAACATAAACAGTTGCTTTATATTTATTAGAGACGTTCACTAAATTTGAACATTTTGTTTGCTTTTTTCGAAAACTTAATATCAAAAGAAACAAATTCTGGAAGACAAACCCACTGATTCATGTCGTTAAATAATCTAAATAGGATTAAAAAATAGATTTAACTAAAGGTTTCACATGATTTTTTTTCTGAGGTAAATTAATTATCTGTGGCCTGACTGTGGAGTGAACAGAAAAGCTGTTTGTCCCCAGTGGTATGTTGTGACCATTTCAGTGCTCAGATTCAATTATTGTTTCTTTTTTTTTTTTTTCCCCGTTTTGTTGTTGGGACAAACAACAGTAAAAAGTCTGAATAATATTTATGAATTAATTAGTATTTTATGTAAAAAATAAAACATTACATGTATTCACAGCTGATATATTTTTAAATCATGACCCACAACTAAGAATAAATTGATCTAATGCAAACACAGAAGCTGTGTTTAGTTCATGAATTTAAAACATTTTACCCATGATCATGTTACAGAAAGTTTTATACATTTTTATGTTAACTAAAACTTCACATAACCTGTAAACAATTGACTCACGTGTTATTTCCCATGTGTTGTTCCCCTATCACAAACATTTATTTGGTAGGAACATTTGTATGTCGAGGGATTAATTAAAATGTGAGACAGTTAATAACCATTATTCAACCATACCTCAAAGGGGCTCATTAATAACTGTTTTGACAATGTAATGAGACATGCGGCTGATGTAATTTTTTCCTTTGGAAGGGTTTCCAGTTGACAAATAGTTTCAAATGTATTAGGTTATTAAAAAACTGCACAACAAACCCTTTAAAATCTTATTTGTCTGTTCTCCTCTTGCATGTGTGGGTTTCCTCCCACATTCCAAACATTTCTGTTGGGTTAGCTTGTGGTTCTAACTGAACTAAGGTCTAAATTACAGCCTCAACTTCAATGAAGATGGGACATTGTGTAAAAAAAACAGAATAGGATCATTTGCAAATACTTTTCAACTGATATTCAATTGAATACACTACAAAGATCAACCCATTCTCTCTCTCGAGTCACAAAGACATGATGTTTAATGTTCAAATAAACAAACTCTGCTGTATTTTTTTTTGCAAATATTCAGTCCATCCACTCATCAGTTTTCTTCAGCTTATCCGTGGTCAGGTCATGGGGGCAGCAGCCTAAGCAGAAAGACCCAGACTTCCCTCTCCCCAGCCACTTAGGCCAGTTCATCTGGAGGAATCACAAAGCGCACCCAGGCCAGCTGAGAAACATTGTCCCTCCAGCGGGTCCTGGGTCTTCTTCTGGATCTCCTCCCAGTGGGACGTGCCCTGAACACCTCACCAGATGCCCGAGCCACCTCAACTGGCTCCTCTCGACGTGGAGGAGCAGCGGCTCTACTCTGAGCCCCTCCCGGATGATCGAGCATCTCACCCTATCTCTAAGGGAGAGCCCAGACACCCTGTGTAAAGGAAACTCATTTTGGCCACTTGTATCCACGGTCTTGTACCTTCGGTCGCTACCCAAAGCTTGTGACCACAGATGAGGGTAGGAAAGTAGATCGACCGGTAAATGGAGAGCTTTGCCTTCTGGCTCAGCTCTCGCTTCACCACGACGGATTGGTACAGCACACACATCACTGCAGATGCAGCACCAATCCGCCTGTCAATCTCTCGCTCCATCCTTCTTTCGTGAACAAGACTCCGAGATACTTAAACTCCTCCACTTGGGGCAGAACCTCCTCACCAACCTGGAGAAGGCACCCTACCTTTTTCCGGCTCAAGACCATGGTCTCGGATTTGGAGGCACTGATCCTCATCTTGGCTGCTTCATACTCGGCTGCGAGAGATGGAGAGCATGATCTGATGAAGCCAATAGGACCACATCATCTGCAAAAAGCAGAGATGCAATCCTAACGTTATCAGAGTGTGGGTCTGGGTTTGTCCTTAGCAGGCCTCTTATTGACATTCCTTCTGTAAAGGTAAATATACGATAATTTCTAACTTTACCTTTAAGATATCGCAAAAAATATTTGTACATTTAGGATATGATTCATATTATCTTAATAAAAAATACTTTTATACGTATAATCTGGAGGATTTACCCGGTGTTCAGACGATCAACACACACCACTATCTGGTGCTGCAGACCTCGTGTTACAGGCTACGACGAGCCAGATGAAAGCTTTCAAAAGCATCAAGTCTACAATTATTTTGTTTTAGGTTGGGTCAAAGATTTAGGATCCAAAAGAACTTCAAATGGCTGTTGACTTGTTTCAGCCTGGGTGAGCTGTGCTATTCTAAGTAGTTAGCCTATGATAACAATGCTATCGCTAACGCTAACAACAAGCTAACTCCAGTTATTTCTATCTGCTTGGATCTACTTGTAAATAATTTATTTAGCTTCAGTAAACCCAAATTCAAGTAACTATCCAGGAAAATATCTGACAATATGATTTAAGCGATACGATCCTGGCCTGTTACAAAGTGGTCACTGCAAAATGTTGCATTGTTCGTTTCCGCACGTCCTGTTTGTAACCGTACATTGTTGATCCACTTTTGTCCTATTTTTTCCTGCACGTTTTTAAAATTAAACTCCCTTGTGACACACTACTTTCAGAGTATGAAAAAAAAACTTTGATATTTCTCCTGATTAGAGTGGCTGCAACAACTGTACACAGCACACAATTTAGACATTTTGACACTGAATCAACAGAAGGAAACATGGCTTCATTTACTTCCTGCCTCCATCTGCATTTCATCACATCAATACGACATCATCTGCAACCTGGCAGCAATGTAGTAAGTAGGTCAGTGATAATGGTTGCATTTTAAAATAAAATACTTCCAATACTTGGTGAATCCAACCTATGACCCACCAGCTTCAACCATGCAACTGAATCATGGGTATTTTGATGATTCAGGCAAAGTTTCAGGCAAAGTTTCAGGCAAAATTCAGAAACTCTCAGACTGAAGAAGTCTCTTGGAGGAGAGACGAAACGTTTCATTAGAGAAGAACCCGTCCAGAAGACCTATACAATTTTTTTTTCTTTTTGATTTTTTACCTGGATTACTGAGATGCATCAGGACACAAATACCCAGCAGTTTTTTGTACATTTTTTCTCTAGTTAATAACAACAGGTCAACAAGTTAGCGTCATGTGTTCAGTCATCATGTGATTAGGCATTTTTGCAAAGTTGTAAATAATCCCAGTGGCAAAAGGGGATGAAAACAAGCCATCAGTAGATGATAAAGCCAGACATTTAGAGGAGTTGTAAGCAGTCCAGGCAGGATTATTTGGAAACTGATGTGTTGATTTAACTCAGAGGTCTGCAGACTTTGACTAAGTTTTCAACAATGGATCCTTTTCCTCATTAATCTCAGTGAAAATGGAAAACCAGTCATTAGAATTCAGCAGTCAGTTAACAATGGACTCATTTGTAATTCCACCTGGAGGAAAGTATCCAGTATTTATTTTTGGTATTGTGATTTATTTGTTTGGAATGCTCTGCAACTTGACCCTGTTGTTTTTAATTATTCTAAAGAAGAACCTTCACAAGCCTGTGTACTTTATCTTGTTCAGTCTCCCTCTCAATGATCTGATTGGAATAACCACAATGCTCCCGAAGATCCTGTCAGATATTGTTACAGAGACAAATAATATTTATTATCCACTCTGTGTTTTACAGGCATTTCTGCTGCACATGTACGGAGGTGGAATTCTGTTTATTCTTGCAGCGATGTCTTTTGATCGTTACGTTGCCATCTGTATGCCGTTACGCTACAGCTCTGTGATGACCCCGAGAATGGTTGCTTTTATTATTTGTCTGGTTTGGGGTTTTGACTTAGTCTTGATTGTATCCATATTTTCATTGCAGGCGAGGTTTGTCAGGTGCAGATCTGTTATCATGAATGTCTTCTGTGATAACCCATCTCTCCTGAAGCTCACGTGTGGAAACACCACAGTCAACAATATAATCGGACTGTTTAACACGGCACTCATTCAGGCTGTAAGTGTGTCCATTCAGGCGTATTCTTACATCAAGATTCTGATTACATGTGTGGGTAAGAGGAAATTTGATGCAAGAAAAAAAGCTGTCAACACTTGTGTTGCGCAGCTAATTATTCTGGTCATATTTGAGATTGTTGCAACTTTTACTATTTTATCTCATAGGTTCAAAGATGTTTCTGTTGATTTGCAAAAGATTATGGGAATGTTGATCTTTCTTGTACCTCCACTTCTGAATCCGATTGTTTATGGCCTTTATACAAGTGAAATACGAAAGACTTTACTGAACATTTTCAAAAATAAAGTATTTATCTGAAGTCATAATTTGTCATTTTAAATTTTTTGTTAGATTATTTATTGATTTTTTTTACAATTATATGAAATTGAATAAATCACAAAGGCTTATAATATATAAACAACAAATACAACAACAATTAAACAACAATTTACTTTTAAATTTGTAG